CTCTTCGTGGAGGGGGCGGCTCGGGGCTACGTACACTAGTTTGTCGTAGATGGGGCGCTGTGAGCTGAGATCTGTGCGTCCAGTCCCCCGACCCAGCGATATGGCCGGTGGCAGTGTGCCTCGTGTCGGCTCCCCGAGAGCCAATCGTGCGCAGCGTGTGTGGTGTGCGTGTGGGCACCGCTGTCCCCGGTCTCTCCATGCCAGGAGGTGTGTCGCACTGACTGTGACTGATGGGTTTGCACGACGACTGTGTGTCAGACTGGCCGCTGCAGAGGCTCGAGGGTCGTCGGTTGAGCTAGGGAGGAGCCTGGCGAGGGACGCCACCGCGACCCCTCGTGCCAGCTCTGCCACCGCGACGCCCCTCCTGCCATCTCTCTCACCGCCGGCAAGCGCGGGCGGCCAAATGACTACGACTAGTGAGGCGCTCACCACCCGCTGCAGGAACCAGCCCTCCGCGATGGCGCCTCCCGACCCGTCGCCGCCGTTGTTGAGCTCGCGCGCCTGCGTCTCGGGACGGGCCGCTTCAGAGGAGTGATCCATGAAGCGACTCGGGGGCTTCTTGCGCGCGCGCGGCTGCAACTCGGCGCAGTCGTTGAAGGCGGCACAGTCATCAGCGTGTGTCAACGAGTCTGTTCACTGTCTCAGTCAGCATGAGCTCCCCGTCTCTGTGTGTGGAGCTCATGCCAGGCACCCCTGTCGCTAGTCTCGCTTGCGGCGTGGAGCAGGGGGTCCGATCTTGGAAGCAAGGCCTGCCTACTACTACTACTACTAGCCACGTCTGCCTACTACTACTACTAGCCGCGGTCCTGCATCTCGGCTGCGTACGCGCGCGCGAGCTCGAACAGGAAGCAGAGCATCTCCGGCATGAATCGCAAGTTGGCGGCCTCGCCCCACAGCAGCAGGAAGAGCGACACCTGAGGTCAGGTCAGGGAAGACTTCTCCACACACACGAGGTGGTGGGGGCAAGGGCCAGGGCAGTCCCTCGCGTCTCCACGTCTAGACGACAGGAGCCCCACGGCATTCAAAGTGCACAAGGCCCAGTGCGCGTGGGTGGAGCGGTGTGTGTGTGTGGTGTGTGTGTGTGTGTGTGTGTGTGTGTGTGTGTGTGTGTGTGTGTGTGTGTGTGTGTGTGTGTGTGTGTGTGTGTGTGTGTGTGTGTGTGTGTGTGTGTGTGTGTGTGTGTGTGTGTGTGTGTGTGTGTGTGTGTGTGTGTGTGTGTGCGTGTGTGTGTGTGTGTGAGAGAGAGAGCGCGTGCG